AGCAAGTACCGGTACGGCCGCGAGTGCTGCCTCTTGGCAGCTGGATAAAAGCCTCCCTTGGACCTTGCTAAGCGTTCGGCCCCGGGGACACGCTGTGGCAGCGAGTGCCGCGGTCTGCTCACACGGGAAGCAAAGGAGAGCACGTTTTCCGCCTTAAAAGCTGCCGCCCTTTAACGGACAGTCTCTCTTGTGCTCGGGTCCTGGCTGCGGGGCCTGTCTGGCACCCAGGAAAGGGGGCAGGCATCGGACCACGAAACCCCCGTCTGGCAGCTGAATTGGTTCCCAGTGAACAGAGACTCTCCCGCTTACCCCTGGCTTTCCTGCCCCGCTCAGCCCACGAGGCCGGCCTTTGCTCACAGGCAGACAAGGCTCTTCAGGTAGATGAGATCTTTTACTAGACCAACTAAATAGTTGGCAAAATTGTTCTTTGCAAGCTTTTGGGCACAAACACCCTTCTCCAGGCACAGGGAGAGTCTGCCCATGTCCCTACATCAAACAGCGCTTTACTCACAGGTGCACAGGAATGAAGTGCTGCTTGTCCTCGTCGCTCTCGCATTTCCCCTTGACGATATCTGTGATGTCCATCACTGCAAGAGACAAGAGGCAGGACACGATGGCAAGGGCTGCACACACAGACAGGCTGGGATGCCTTTACATGCCTAGCACCTGCATGTAGAGCTACCGGAGGGGTGGAGGAACGGTGCAGCCACGATGGCCCAGGATATCTTTGGGTGAAATCCAGGAAGAGAAATCACCCAGAGAAACCCGTGCCTGTGGAGCTGCCGCCATTCCCGGGTCAGAACGGGAGAAGGACCGTGCTGGAGGAGGGCTGGGCGTTACAGCGGTCCATGAGCTGAACAGGAGCCAGCGTGCGCTCTTGCTGCAAAAAGGGCCAGCTGCACGAAGGGACTGCAAGGTGCACAGGAAACTGGCTGGGCTGTCGGGCTCGGAGGGTAGTAGTCGATGGCTCGATGTCCCGGAGCGCCCCGGGGAAAGGAGGGACGTCCCGACAAGCACTGGAGCAAGCTCCCAGACGCGGTGGAGTCTCCGCCGCTGGAGGCTCCCAGAAGCAGGTTGCACAGCCCTGGGCTGGGCTGGGCTGGGCTGGGCTGGATGAGTTGGGCCTGATCCTGCCTGGAGCAGGGGCTGGGCTGGGCTAGACGTGACCTTGTGAAATCCCTTTTGAGCCCTATGACTGCAAGTAAAAGGGCCTACAAAGAACCGAGCTCCCAAATGAAGGTGTGGGTGGAGGGTGAGGGGTGAGCATGGGAAGGGGTGGCAGAAAGAGGAAACATGGAAAACTCTGACTGACTTCCAGGAAAACCTTCCTGGCTGGAGAACCGCTCCCCAGACAGAGCGAAAGGCTGGCCCCAGGCTCGGTCCGTTCCCAGGGACGGGCCGGAAGAAGCAAGCAGCTGCCCCAGCCCCAAGGCACCAGGAGCCTTGCCCCAGGTCCCGACTGGCCGCAGACGGCAAGGCCGGGAGGGGCCGAGATCTTCACCCCTCCAGCCTCCCGCATCGCGCAGACCAGAGTGTCAATCTGTCCTCACTCCCTGTCTAAAACGAGCTGCAAGCACGTGAGAAACGCGCCCCAGAGTCGTCCGGGCTTGGCCAAGTGCTCGTGCAACGGAGACGCCGCCTACGAGTGCTGCAGCTCAAACCAAAGATCCCGAAAGAGCCGAAGAAGCCTTTCCCTTGACTGCGGCGTTGCAAAGGAAGGCCAGGTCCCGGTTCCTCAGCGGCTGTCTAGTGGATATCCTCCCCCTGCCCCCACGTGCCATCCCCACACAGACCCCCGTCTGCCCCAGGCTTCAAACCCCCTGACAAAAGGGGAGAAGGGGGCAACCAGCACAGCCAAGACACCTGGGACACCCCAGAGCAGAGCACGGGCATCGCTGCCCCTGGATCATCCCCCCCAGTGCCCGTCCAGCCTCTCCTTGCACCCTCCAGAGAGTCCCCGTCCCGCCAGCCTGCCCGTGCCGGGTGTCCCTCCCAGGGCCATGCTGCTTGGACAGGGAATCTCCAACCTAAACCTGCTTTGCCGCAACTTCCAGCCGTGGCTCCGCGTCCTCCTCTCTGCAGCAGGAGAGACCGGGCACTTTCCCTCGTCTCTCTGGCAGCCCTTCAGGGATTTGCAGACTGCTGCCATGTCCCCTCTTAAGCACTTTCTCCGCCAGCTGAACCTGCCCAGCTCCAGCCTCTCCTCCGGGACCTGCCTTCCAAGCCCTTCATCATCTCCGTTGCTGCCTCTGGACCCTCTCCAACTTCTCCAAGGCCTCTTAAAAACATGGAGCCCAGAACTGCAGGCAGCGTCCAGCTGTGGCCTGAGCAGCGCTGACCGAGGCGCGGTCACCTCCCCATTCTCCCGCTGCACGGGCTGCCCCGTCCTCCTCTCAGCATGGGTCTCCTGTCTCCAAACCCTGCACCCGATGCCTCCCACCCTGGTCTCTCTGGCCACCGCAGATGCAGTGAGCAGCCGCTCTCTGCTCTGCCCAGAACCAGGGAGCTGCAGATTGTCCCTCAAGCGGGTTTGAAACCTTTAAACAACTTTCCGTAGGCAGCGAGCCCTGCATTTTGTCAGCGACAGGCGCGGCAGCATCCCCTGTGCTGCCCGGGGGGTGCTCGGTCTCACCGGTGATCTCTGCAGGCTATCAAGAGGCCCAGGGCTCATCTCTACTTCCACCGCAGGCTTCTCCCCCTGCCCCAGCGGCCGGCCGGCCGAGGGGTTTCCAAGCTCCAAGCCACAGGATCTACAGCCCTGGGCAGAGCAGGAGCCAAGAGAGTCAGCCTGGCCGCTCCCCGCCAGGCTCTGCTCCAAGTGCAATTACCAGTTGTCACTCAATAATTCACCTTGTAATTACTGGCGCTAGAGGTCCCAGCCCTGGCTAATTAGCCGATTAGAATCAATAATTTCCTACCAGGTCCAATTTGCTGAGGATCGATACCTTGGCTGAGTATGTGTCACGGGAGAGCAGGGCTGTGCAGGGAGGGCAGCTCGATCCAGGGGCAAGGGCTGCGCGGCACGGGGCTGGCACGGCCTGATGCGTTGCCCTCTGCCCCTGAAGAGGCTGGAAAAGCCCTTTCCTACAAACTCCAGCTCCTAAACCCCAGGGAGGGGATGCAAGCTGGGAAGGGGCTGGGGTCTCTGCAGCGCCCACGACCCCCTGGCAGCAGCAGGACGCTGGCAGCTGCGGCCCCCCGGCATCCCGGGGACAGGGGCGGGGATGATGCCTGGGGCAGTCAGGGGCGACTGTGTCGTGTTGGGTGGACACGGGGCTTGTCTGGGCTGGTTTGGACGGGGCTGACCCTGCCTCAGACCGGACTGGACTGGACGTGGCCCGGCAGCCCCTCCCTGCAGGCCCAGCCCACCTGAGACGCCGAAGGGGCGCCGCAGCCCCATGCTCAGCTTGCGCGTGTGCATGTCCCGCAGGTCCATGCGTCCCACCCGGATGATCTGACACACCAGGAAGAGCTTCTCACGCTTCAGGTCCTTGCTGCCCAGGTCCTGGGGAGGGAGAGATGGGTCAGGGGAGGCTCCCGGGCCTGGGGGCACCGCGGGTGGCTCCCACGTGGGGCAGACCCCATGCCTCACCCTGGGGCCATGCCAGCACTGGGGGGTGGCCCAGGTCAGGGGCTCCCCTGGTCTCCCAGTAGCCCCATGCGGGTGTCCAGGCACAGCTCAGTGCAGCCGGGGCACCTCGGCCGCCTGAGCACAGCAATGGGCCCCTTCGGACATCTACAGCTCCAAGGTGAGCCCCCCCGCCCTGGGGTGCTGCACGTGGCCAAGCCTTGGTGATGCCCCCCCAGCTTTGGTACCGCAGGAGATGCTCCGAGCCAGCAGCAAGTGCCGCCAGCAGATGCCCTGGCTTGGCCCCAGCCCAGGGTCAGACTCGGCTCAGCAAGGACGAGGCCTCGTCTCGCCTGGCCCGGGCTGGGAGGAGCAGAGGGACCCCCGCGCAAGCAGAAGAGCCGCTCCTGGAGTGCACGCGGGGGCTCGTCTAGTAACGAGCGGTGCCCAGGGGCTGGTGTCTCGGGCCTGGGGGAGCTGCAGGAGGCAGCGACGGCTCAGGCAGTGGGGACGGGCCAGGAGCTCACCGTGAACACGGCCTTGAGGTTGTTGAGCAGCTCGATGTCCTGGGGGACCCCGGTGCTGGCCCAGCGGATCAGGTAGTTCTCGCTGCCGGGGCACAGGGGAGCGTCAGGACGCACGGGGCCCACGGTGTCACGTGCGCTGGGGAGCACCCCTCCCGCAGCCGCATCCCCCGCCCCGGCGACAAGGGCACGGGACCCCAGGCAGGGCCCAAGCCAAGGCCGCAGGGACGGCCAGTGCCTGGCTGCAGCCCGAGCCGCGAACCATCCCACAACACCCTGAGCCCAGAAGCGGGGCCGTCGGAGCCCATCGTGCCATGTGTGAGAGCAGGGGGCTGTAGGGCACCGGTCTCCGAGGGCGCAGGGTGGGGTGGAGCTGCCCCGACCAGACCACCGCCAGCACCCGTGCCCATGCAGCGCACGAAGGCAGATGCCCAGCGGTGCCCCCCCCACCCGCCGGCCTGGCACAGCGCACGAGGGCACAGACACGCGCGGTGCAAGAGGTGTCTCAGCACCGCCACGAGCTGCAGCCAGAGCCGGGCTGCGTGGGGACGAGGTGCTGGGACCAGGCTGCAAGGCCCAGGGCAGGGGCTGGTGACCCCAGGACCATGGGTGCGCCCAGCAGGTACCTGATCATGCGCTGCTCCCCGGGGTCATAGAGCGCCATGAAGAGCTGCGCCTCCTCTCCGATGTTGCAGACGAAGTTGCGGACGCAGAGGTAGAGGCTGTGGCAGGGCGCGGAGGCCAGGCGGGCGCTGAGGCCCAGCTCGCCGTGCTGGGAGCTCTGGGGAGGGCGGCAGGTCAGTTTGCCCCAGGACCCTGGGCCGGGGAGCCCGCACCAGGGCTGGGGCAGGCTCTCACCATCTCCTGGATGCGCTCGCTGATGAGGCCCGTGGCCCGCTTGTGGGCCTGGAAGAGGCTGATGATGCTGGTCCTGTCGGGGTCCAGGATGTTCTCGTCCTTGTCCCGCACGACCAGGTCCAGCTCCAGGATCCTGCGGAGGCCGCAGCGGGGGCGGACGTGGCTATGGCAGCCCCCAGCCCCCAGCCCTCTCCCCTGCCTCGAGGGGCTCCCTGCAGCCGGCCCGCGGCCCCCGCCCTGCCCGCAGCTCCTGCTCTCACTTGTTGCCGTAGTCGATCTTGCTGGTCACCTCCTTCTTGAGCTCCAGGAGCTCATCCTTGGGCAGTGTCCCTGACAGCAGCTGCGAGCGACGCTCCATCAGCTCGCACATCATCCTCCGCACCTGCTTGTACCGCTCCTTCTGCCCCGCCTGCGGCACAGCGGGCGTGGGCACATGGATCCGCCAGCCCCGGGCCCCGCGGCAGGGCACCTCCAGCCCCGCACGGCCCTTGCCAGCCCTCGCCCCGTCCCTCCAGGGCCCCAATTCTCGCCCAGCCCGTCCTGGACAGCCAGCACCCGCAGCTCCTGCAGACCCCTCCTGTCGGGGCTGTGTTCCCAGGAGCCCCCCCGGCGCTCACCACATAGAGCTGCTTCCAGATGGCGGCCCACTCCCGCAGCGTAGTGGTGATCTCCTGCACCAGCGGCATCTCCGACGGCACCACAGTCTCCTCTGCCCTGGGGTGGGGGACCGCGGGTGAGCTGGGGCAGGGGGGCACTGACAGACCCTCCCGGGGTGGATCCGAGGCAGTGCTGCATTTGTACCCCTTCGAATTCCCGCTCCTTAAAACCAGCTGCACTTCTGCTCCAGTCACGCTGATGCAGCCGACTGACTTCCTGCTCATCTCTCCACTCTGTGGGTGTGAACAACCCCCTCTCCTTTTCCTCCCTTGTTCTAGCTAGCCCTTCTTCTGCAATGGTGCCATCCATCAGCCACGCCTGGCCGTGGCTCTCTCCTGTTTCAGCCCTGCAGACTGTCTGCAGCTCCGGCTAAAACGCTGAACTCGGGTGCAGCCACGTGAGCTCAGGTGCAAACAAGACTGACGGAGGCACGGGAGGTGCTGAAGGGGTTAAAGACGTCACCTCCGTCTTTTTCGGGAAATCTAAACGAGATGCATCTGTTTGTCTCTGACGGCTGCAGGCCCCGCGGCCCAGTCACTTGGGATGGCTGAGGCTGTTTTGTGCCTCTCACGTTGGGGTTTCTGAATCTCATACGTAACCCAGCAAAGCAACGTGTTTCTGGAGCGTGGCGGGGTCTGGTTTGCTCTTGCACCACGTAAGGGAGTGGGGGGCCCGTCCCGTACCAGCACGGCTCCCGGTTTCGCTCTGACTGGAGCCATGTTGGCTGTGCATGCGACTGCGCCCCACCCTGCACCCCCTTCTCAAACCCCTG